GCTGTTTTCCAGTGTTATGAAGTTTTCATAGAATATAAAATAAATTTGAGAATAATTGTTGTCAAAAAACTGCTTGAGGTCACTTCCATCCACAATATCTGAAAAGAGGAACATGGTAATTACACAAGAGCAGAAAGACAAGAATTACAGGCATTCTGCAAATTTAGCTTTAGAGAATGAAATAAATGCAATACAAAGCTATTTTAGTGAGTTCACTGAGTATTCTGTACTAAACTGTCAGTCCATCCTTGCAAAGAATTTCACTGAATTTATGAGAGTCTTCAGTGGGGCTTTGGTTCATTTGCTTTCCACTAAAAAATAGAAAAAAAAAAAATAAAAAAAAAAAAGGGGTTGAGTCTCAGCTTAGTGTAACCAAATGGCCTCTGTACCATCAAAACAAGCAGGTACTGCTGGAGAAAAACACTAGCAAAAAATTTTGGATGCAATTTCACCTCTTGCATTCATCTGGCAAGCAGATCAAGCCAGAAAACAGCATATTCTCAATTCATTTCTTAGAATAATGGCAACTCGAGCATGTAGCACTTTCCTAAGTGTTAACTTGGGTCTGAAATTTGAAATAAGTTTATTTTCTACAAAGAAAAAAGTCCACTGTTTTCTAAGCCTGACACTTGCTAAACACACATTAATTCCCTCCCTTTGGTCTTTACTGCAACTGATTTGGTCAAGGAAAGTTGGGTCATTTCCCCCAGAAAAGGATGAAGGGCCAAAATTAATATCACATCTCATCGAAGCCTCACCTTGCAAGAAACCCATTTGTTACCCAAAATAAAGCTGATTCCAGCAAGAAGGCTCAATAAGATCCCACAACTATAGAAGAAATAATAACTTTAGCCCTGGACAACCTGATTTTTATTTAAATTAGTACCTTTCCAGCAGTAAGGCTCTGCTTGGCTGCTTGTACTATGGAAACAATTAGAGCAGGGAAACTCTTTAACGTGATATTTGTTTCCTGCAAACTACTGGTCTGAATTTACAAGCTAAGTGCAATTATTCCTCCCCATGAATGCATCCTGTTAAACACAACTCCAGGGGAAAACAAGGCTTTCATTTACAGGGATTTCATATGAGGGAATGAGGTCATTAAAATCTAAACAAAAAGGAAACTTTCCCTCTAAATTGCGGAGGGAAGAGAAAGGAACTGCCTCACCAAGAAAGCAAATCCTCCTTTTTTTCTAAATGTGGCATCTCGGTGGTGACTCACGGGTGAGTGTGATTTAAGCTGCATCCCTACAGCCACAGCCCTTTCTCACAGATGTGTTTAACTTGCAGCAGGGCTCGTTCCTGCTTCTTACAAGGAAAACATCGGGGAAAGTTTCCTGCGCCATTTATCACTCGAGATAACAAGATAAAACCCTGACTTTGGGGGAAAGCACTGCCTGAAGGAGTACTTAGAAGCACTCGAGGAAATGAGGCAGCAAGCTTGGTGCTGAACTGCAGGAATTTGGGTCTGTTTTTATATTTACTCCCAGACAGCTCCCAGGTTACTACAGCTGCAAACAGGCATCCAGACCTCAGGCAAGCACCAGCAGCCATCCCAAACCCAAAAAATTTCCCCCTTTCCCACACAGGACAAGCTCACAAGTCTAGCTAACACCTGACAGCAGCTGCTGCAGCAACATTCAGGAAACACGGAGACACTCAGGAGGGTCACACCCTATTTCTTCTCTATAAACAGGACATGTGAGCTCACTGGATAACTGTCAGTGACACTGACTCGTTGTACCATTAAATTTAAAATTTAGTGTTACACTCGGGTACCACTTAGTAAGAGCCTGAGTCTATTGCCAAACTCTCACTGCTCTTCCTCATACTAAAAAAAAACCCAGAGGGGACACTAAGCCTGTCCTTAGCACATGGACTTGCCTTTTATTTTCCTGTTAACTGCCAATGTTACCACAGGCACCTGTTAGAAATGATCCCTTAATTCCATGAACTTCCAAAGTCACTTTATGCTATTTTCTCAAAGCTCTCTTAATCCTCAAGTACTTAAAAAATTAAAGGAGATGAAGTGAATTTTGCAGCCACACCCTGGTTAATGATAAACTTTTATGACCAGCCTCACCCCAGAAATAATGCACAATTCTTACTTATCTTCAAAAAAAGTATGCCAGCATGAAACAGCCCGTTACCAAAACGGCCCTCCAACTGGAACAACTTCCAAAATTATGTTAACACCTCAAATGTCACAAAAGCTCTACAGAACAATCCCTGAATTCAGCAGGAAGTCTGCACACATCCCCTTTTTGACTGTCTGTAAATGAAAGTTTCTACCCAGCCAGTATTGGTCCTGCAGCTGTACAGAACCACGAGGCCAAGCAGTGCCAGAACCAAAATCCCGCTACTCTCCTTTGTTATCCCATCTCTGATCAAGGCAGTTCCATGGAAAGCATGGGCTTTCCTAACAGATATGTTTTAAAGGCAACAATTAAGGCTTGCACTTGGTAACCTTAAAAATTTCACATTTAGTCTTAACTCTGTGTGTCTCCTACATATTTGCCCACTGCTCAAGAGAGAAAAGGCTGAAAGCACTGGACAAAGCAGCATCCCACATCTGTTAGCAGCAGCACTTCTGACTCCTGTGCCCAAGGAGAAAACACTATTGAAAGAGAAGTTTCAATATAAAAAGGATATTTTTACCCAAGGAGAGCCACAGAAAAAAATTCTTAAGGCATAGCAATTCGTTTTTGTCCTACAAAAGTCCCACAGAAACCACTCTGGGAAAAAGCAGAGGCTTCATTTGTGGCCAGGCAGTGGGGAAGAGCCAAATCTGTACATCCCCACCACTCTTTGTCAGGTCACTGCTTTTTAAGTCTATCTTAAAAAAAAAGGCCACACTACTGGCACTTCCACAAACTGTATTTAGAACTTCACTAACTCAACAGAAGTTCTGGCCATGAGTACATCTCCATAGCAATACAGAAATAAGGGAAATGTTCTGATCACGTCTCAAACATAACTGAACACCCAATTTTAACTCCTGTTGTCGATCTGGGTAGTGTTTTGTCCTGCCATGTGCACAGAGCACCCCACAGAGCTGGAACTAAGATTCCAAAGGCCATTGGAGGCTTGAGAGATGTCATAACCAACACCAACCTAAGTGGACTCTTTTATTTCACTTTGGGCACTGGACAAACTTACATAGGTGCCACTAAGGGACCTGAAGCAATCCAAAGCTCACATGAGCCCTTATTTATGGAAACACACATTCCATTTGCTCATCCCTCCCCTATGATCATCTTCCCTCTGATCTGTATCCTCCCGCACCAGTGGGATCACAGAAGAGTAACTGACATTTTGTTTATAATTAAATTCCCGTGATTTAAACTAACAAAGGAAGAGGAGCTGGCATCTCCCAAGGAAACGGGAGAGCAGGAACAGCTATTTGGGGAACGTGTGGCACTGTGGCCCGAGGGAAGCAGTTGGAGAAACAGACACACACATTCCTACCCCTGGCCAGGGCAAGGAGAGACACATCTGGGGAGAAAAAGAAGAAAAAAAAAGAAATCAAACTACTTTCTTTTGAGCCTTTATACCAAAAGCTTTACATGCCGGACTTATTTTTTTTCCAACTCCCACGTGCGGAGTTCTTTTCTGCGCTGAACAGTACCACAGAAGACACCGTGGCGAGGGTATCTATCAAGAGAGCATCTTCCAGAAGCCACTCCCGTGCTGCCTCGAATGTTTACACCGATGTTGCCAAGAGCAGATTTGTCAGGAGCATACCCAGAGCCGCTCGGACAGTGCCTGCAGTGACCCGCCGGGCAGCTGGACACACCACAGCCCCTGCCAGCCCTGCAACAGCCTGCACCCGGAACAGCGACCACAAACACCTTTAACTGAGAAGTCACCAAACCCAACAGCGTGACACGAGGCCACATGTACCCGATGCTGTGTCCCCCAGGGCGGCTGCTCCCAGTCAGCTCCTTCGGGAGCTCACGAGGAACAAGTGCGGCACATCGGCGACGATCGCCCGCACCTGGAACAAAGCGGCATCACCTGGAAGCACCCACCGGGCACAGCCCCTTCCCCTCAGCAGACCCGGCCCCTGCCGCGTCTGAACAGCGAACAGAGGCCACCCGAACCCTCCCGAACCGCGGGCCACAGCTGGAACTCATCGGCGGCTTTCCACCTCCAGCAGGATCTCAGCGGGAACTCATCGGCGGCTTTCCACCTCCAGCAGGATCACAGCGGGAACTCATTTCCACGATGCCCCAGGGTGGAAGCCATCACCTGCAAGGCGCCCCTAGACACGTCCAGCCTTGCCCCAAACCACACAAAACACCACCCCGCCACTTCTTTCGGAGTTTAAACACCCAGCAAAGAGCCCCGAGTTGATGTCACTGACAGGAGCAGAGTTTCTCACAGCCTATCTCCGAAAGTGACCAGGGCTGCGCGTTTCCCCGCGGTTCCGCGCCCAGCCCAAGGCGAGACCCGGCACAGCGGCACACGCGAGTTCCCCCGGGCACCCCAAACTTTCTCCCCACGGAGGGCGCGCACCGGGGCTGCCTCTGCGGCGGAGAGAGCCCGGGCTGGGTGGGGAGGCTCTCTGCCCACAGCACGGACAGCTGCCACGCCGGGCTCGCTGCTGTCTCCCAGACACCGCAGCGGAGGGCGAGCAGCGCTCGCAGACCCGCCCGCGGCCGCGGCTCTGCCCGGGCACCCCCCGAGGGGCTGAGGGCCCCGGGGCCGCGTCCCCCCGCGCCCACCCCCCGCTCACCCAGCAGAGCGCGGAGGTGCTTCAGGCGGGTCAGCACGTCCCGCTTGGGGTCCAGCGCCTTCTGCGTGGATTTCCTGACGTCGGCGTGGCTCTTCCTGGAGAACATGCCGGCGGCACGGCGGGCAGGGATGGAGGCGCAGCGCCGGGCGCGCTCCCCACGCCGCCGCTCCCGCCCCCCGCTCTGCGCGGGGCGCGCCGGGAGCTGCCGCCCGCCCCGCTTCTGACGTCACCGCGGCGTGGCGCTGACGTCACCGGGGCGGCCGCCGGGAGGCCGCGCCCCGGGACCCCCTGGGACTCATCGGGAACCCCCCGGGATCCTCTCGGAAACTCCCGGGAGCCCCGGAACCCCCCGGCCCCACCGGTGGCAGCTCCGGGCGGAGCCCCCGGGCACGGCGGGGCCCCGCGCCGCTCCAGGGACCCCCGCGATGCGCAGCGGAGCATCCCGGGAGAGCCGCGGGAATGCCCCGGCAGGGCAGCTGGGATGGAGGCGCCGTAGGGAGCTGGCTCCTAGGTAGGCTCTTGGTTTGTCATGGAATCACTGAACCGCAGGTGTGGGTGGGAAGGTCCTTAAAGCCTTTCCAGTGCCGTGGCAGGGACGCTTTCCACTATCCCAGGGTGCTCCAAGCCCCGTCCAGCCTGGCCTTGGATATTCCCAGGGATCCACGGGCAACCGGTGCCGGGGCCACCCCATCCTCACAGAGAAAAAATTCTCCCAGTGCAGATCTCCATTGGAAAACATTCAGGTTTTGTATAATCACTTGCACTGTGAGTATATAAATATATAAAGACATATTGTCTTTACACACAGGGAAGGTGAAAGAGCAGGCTCGTACACAGCAAAAGCACGATCCATCCCAGAAGGAGAAGCCAGCAGATGCTCTCAGTAAAATTCCTGGGCCAAAAAGTAAATTCTAGTAAGTTTCAAAGCAGGCTGTGGGCCTAAAAAACTAAAACAAGGGGTTTCAGGGAAGTGGCTTGCGTATATGCTTCTTAGTTTTTAACAAAATGGCTTAAAAATCAATTTACGTGTCACATAGGAATTGTTTTTTCAGCCACGAATTGGTGTAGAAAATAAAATGTCGCAGGAATTACTGTTGTTGGAAGCAGAAAACACAGCACTGCCACATCTCACTTCCCCTGAGCCCTCTCAGCAATCCTTTCTGCTGCAGCTCCTCCAGCCCTGGGATGGCCCTGTGCATGCAGGAACAGGGAAAGGCTCTGCCTGGAAGTTACAGTGGACACATAAATACATAAATAAATAAATACATAAATAAAGAAGCAGGCTGGAGGAGGGGGCTGCAGGCAGTGCTCCTGCACGCCCTGCTTTTGAGCATGGCACGGCTCTCCCCCTCTGCAGCACAGCTGGATTCTGGAAGGGGCAGAGCAAGGGCTGGCTGTGCCACCAAACCCTGTGATGAGAAGTGAGGAATCACTTGTTGGAGTCAGGAAGATGTGTAGTGATGTTGGACGGCATTGAAAATGAAAAAACTGATTAATCCCTTTTCTTACACAGAAAGGCTGAATGCTTGGAGTCAGCCACAGAGAATTCCCTGCTGTCACTTCATCCCTTGCTTTGGAGCCCAGCTCAGTAATTCCTATTGCACACCCTTCCCATCCCAGGTAATTCCTGTTGCACACCCTTCCCATCCCAGGTAATTCCTGTAGCACACCCTTCCCATCACTCCATGACACACTGTCTCCTTCTGGAGCAGTTATCATTCTCCAGCAATTGTCTCAAATTTTGGGTCATGTGGTGTGATTTCAGCATCAGCAGCTTCCTGAGGACAGTGAATGGGGCTGTTCTGGCTCTCCCCTTCCATTGGCACAAATCAATTTCTGCACTTGGCTGAGGAAGCACGTGGCTAAAGTCTTGGCTCCTTCTTGTTTATTTTTTTTCCTTCCCTTTTATTTTAATTGATTTACAAAACTAACAGCTTCCATTTTGTCTCCTCTAGCGGTTTCTGATTGTTCCACATTTTTTTTCATGTTTCTGCATTGTTAAAAAAGGAGCCATTGCTCAGGATTCAGGAATTGTGGTGCTACAGCTGCTCTGATGTCTGACACCTTGTGTGATAAGCAGGGCATCGTTATGGTGCTTAGCACCAAACTGCATAGCTTTAGGCACTCAGTGGTTTGAGGTCTGCTGGAAATGCTGCCTGTGAAAAGCTCCAGGGAACAGAGATGCCATGCCTGGAATCACAGTGCTCTAGGACAGTCCTTGCTCTCCTTTTGAGTTCAAACATCATCAAATATAATTTTTCAAATTATTCACTTAGGAGCTGGCGTAGGACAGCACAAGCCAGAGAATGCCAGTAAACCTGCAGCAGTGACTTCAGCCTGTGCAGGAGAACCACTTGTGAAGTCCTGTGACTTGTGTTTTCTAACAATATAACATTTGCAATTTCCCAGAAAGTCAGATGATGCATTTCCGAAAGCCAGCGCTTAAGGTAGAATAATTTCCTGAAAGAGATTTGGTCATTCAGCTTTCAGGATCTGAGGTAAAATCTATATAAAGCAGTCACTTCAGGCAACAGAGCAGTAATCACTTGTGGCAGAACTGAACTGTTAAAGGCCCCAGTCTCGATGTGTTTGCCTCCCAGGATGAGGCAAGAGATGAATTTGACTCTATTTTTTAGAAGGTTGATTTATTATATTATATTAAAAATATTGTATTAAAGCTATAGTAAACTATAGAGAGAAAAGAATACATCAGAAGGCTAGGAGAGGAAATGAATAATAAAAACTCGTGATTGTTCAGAGCTTTGACACAGCTGCACTATGAATGGTTATCAAGTAAAAACAATTCACATGAGACCAATCAAAGATGTGCTTGTTGGTAAACTATCTTTAGACTACATTCTACAGCAATCAGATAGTTCTTGTTTACATTTCTTTTCTGAGGCTTCTCAGCTTTTTAGGAGAAAATCCTAGCGAAAGGATTTTCATAAACTATCACAGTGACACCCCAGCACCGTGTGGTGTCACCTGAGGGAGGTGACAATACCAGCACAGGCACGGCAGCGGGGTCCGGTATTCCTTGGGAAAATCCCTCCTCACGCAGGACCCTGCCTGCCTGGCTGGGCCCACGGGAAGAAGACCAGCATCCCTCAGAGTTCTGGGGTGTCACAGCTGAGCCAAGACTCACAGACCAAAGGGAAGGGCTGACCTTGCAAAGGCTGTCCCCGCAGTGCCCGCCCCGCCAGGCTGCTGGCACTGCCCTGCCAGTGCTGGCACTGCCCTCCGGGCTGCTCCTACAGGAGTTTCTATTTCAGGCCTTGCCCCAAGCAGTACAGGTGAGGGGCAGCACATTCCCAGTCCAAAATAGAACAGCCTGAATTATTAATATGCGTTTGCACCGCGGGCCAGCACGCTCTGCCTGAGCTGCACTGCTCATGCCCTTCCTTCCTCCCCCCCATCCTGGAAGCAGCCTGGTGCTGCAGAGTTTGTGGAGTTTGTGGAAATGTGACACCGGCTGCCACCTGAATTTCGCTGGACCTGATGAACAGGCAGGGTTTCTTTTTCCGTGGAGCCTGAAATTTTAATGGCAGAGATTAAATTACGGAACTTCTCCGCTTGCTTGTGTCAATATAACACTTTATACTGAGCCCAGGAAAAAAGGTAGGGGAAGAGTAAACACGGGAGACTTGCCTCCTGTGCAACCTACAGGTGAGGTAATGGTTTCCTTAGCATGGAATGTCAGTGCTGACTTTCTGTCCTTCGAACCAAATGCTTCAAGTTGCATTTCGAAAGTTGGTTTTGTGTCCTCTTGCATATCCTTGGTCCAGCACATCCATTGAGGTGCCTGAGCTCCTTATCCCTGCATTGGAATCAGCTCCCTGGATGCTCCTGGCTCGTGTGCAGGGGCTTGGCAGAGCTTTGGTGCTGTGCCAGCATGCTGCATAAGGAAATGAGGCTCTGCCCTCTCTGCCCTGGTATGACTAAGCGTGTGGAAAAGACTTTTCCAGTGGGCTCCAGGTTTGAGGGGTTACTTTCCTGACAGTGTTCCTGCAGGGTATGCAGGCGTGGACCCCTGCTCCTCTGCTCTGCTCAAACCACACAGTAAGTGCTGAATTTCTGCTAAACGCCTGATTTCCTCTAAGTCTGGATCCTGCAGTCTGCTTTCCGTGGATCAGCTTCTGCAAAGGTTTGGAGTTTATGGAGGCAAAGGTGCCTCATCCATTTAACCCTCAGTGAGGGTCTCCTCCAGCCCTTCTCATTTGGCACACAAAGTAACTCTCACTGTCCCTTGGCCTGTGGAGTTTTATTTAGGAAAAACCTATTGGAAAATTTCTACCCATTGCAGCATATGAGGCAGCCAGATGTCATTCTTATAGTAAAAATGATAGACAGGAGAAATCCACTGTCAAAAAACCCTGTCAGATTTCCATCTGCCAGAATCTCCAACTGTGCGGAGGGGGAAAGGGAAGGATTTATGTCTATTGATGGAAAAAATTCCAAAATAGAAGGAACAGGGATTGCATGTCCCCTGATACCTTCCTAAAGGAAACGGTATGAAGGATGTGAAAATTTCATGGAGTAAAAATATCAACCCACTAAGGAGAGCTCAGACTGCCTTTGCCAAAGGTTGAACTGCGCCAAGAAGTTGTGCAAGCCCGTAACCTACTGCTCCAACCGAGATCTTTCCATGAGGAAATGTTTCAGCTCAACTTGAGGGCTGGCCTAAGAGATGGCTTACACGGTAAAAAACAGGAAAATCATCCCTGTGCTTCCCTGCTCCTTGTGGTGTGGAGCGGAGATAAAGTGCCGCTTGTCTCCACCGCATTAAATCCGAGATAAGTGTTGTTTACTTCACCCCTCTCCAAGAGGAAAGGTCACTCGTGATCTCGGTGGAGCTGCAGCAGCAGCAATTTCCTCCTGGCAGCGTTCACCTCTGGCCGGGTGAGGCAGAGCCCGGCTCCCCTCCTTTGGGGACGCTGTTAACCCTGTCCCTGCCGCCCGTGTCGCCGGGGCTGGCTCTGAGCACACGGGCACAGGGTGTGGGCTCTGAGCTGCTGATGGGCAGGCTCGCAGAAACACTTCTGGTCCCAGCAAATGATGCTCAGAGGGTGAAATAAGGGTCGCTTGTTCCTGCAAGTTACAGAGAAGGGTCGTGCCACCTGCAGAAAGAGTCTTTGTTTTCCTCTTGTCCCCTCCTCGGCTTTCTTGGATTTATATTGCTGTGTATTTAACCTAACATATTTTCTTTTTTTTTTCTTTGACTGAATATTATGTTCATGTTTTCATTTTTCTCCCATCTTCTGTTGGGTCTTTATCACTCAGAGGAAAAATAAATGAGGAAGGGAGCAGCTGACTGGGATCGCCCTTAAGCTGGGCTTTGTTAAGACCCGGAATGACCACTCTGATTGTCCTAGCCCTGAGTGCAGTTTATTCTGACAAACCAGGCTGTGTGGTATCTTCAGTTCTCCTTCGGAAGAGAAGATCTCAAATGCTTTTTTGTACATGAGAAGGAGAACAAAAAATCCTTCAAAATGAACCAGTAACACACAAAGCAACCACTGGCCACTGATGTTCACACATTCTTCCTTCCTTTCTTCCTTTGCAAATGAACGACTGCAGAAAGCAGTGCAGTAATTACAGCCTGCAGAAACAGCTCGGGTTTTCCTCCATGGACAACCCTGACAAAAAATAACAAAAAATAATTTTTTACCAACACAGCTGGTGTTCAGATGAAATTATGTGGTTGGCTTTGAAACAGTATTAAAAGAGAAATTTTAATTAACCTGTACCACTGAGTCAGAAGATAATATCTGATGCATCTAACAGGCCTACAGACAAAATATGATAAAATAATTATTTGCAATTAGATATATGCATTACAGACAATGTTGTAATTAAAATGTACTTAATGTCACAGGAGGTCCCTTATTATCAAAATAATTTGTAGAACGACTGTGGAAACAATGTGATGATAATCCATCCCTCTGGCAAAAAAACAATCAGAATTTGCCAAGAGCCCAAAACATCTCTGGATTTGGAGCAGACACCGGCACGGTCCGACAGCCCAACTCCTTTCCCCAGGGCTGAGTTCTGCTTGTCACCAGGGTGGGCACAGGGCACCCATTTCTTGCTGTGCCAGTGTTCCTCCGTGCCCTGCCAGGAGGAGATGTCCCTGTGCTGTCATATGACTCCAGGAGTGGATGCAGTGCAGGTTGGATGAGGGAGAGATGCCCCAGGTGCTGCACTGTTCTTCTCTGGGGAAAATTGATAATATCTGTGTTCCATTATTTGCTTATTATCTGCACTGAAAAGGAGTGATCAAATTTACTGGGACAGGTTATTTTGCTACAGTGGCCCTTCCAAAGCGCTTGGGCCACGAAAGGACTCAAACCCAAGGAAAAATTAGATTTATAGTTGCTTGATACTTTGCATTTGCATCTCTGGAGGAACGAAAGTGAGGGCCTGACAAGCACTAAAAGTGGGGGGATTGCTCAGGCAGCCTCTGAGAGCCCATCACCTTCAGAGCCACCTCTGCCTGAGCCTGAGCCATTCCTTGGAGCTGCCAGGAACCAGTGCCAGTGCCAGCTGCCTGCTCCAGGCCCTGACCTCATCGGGGATAATGAAGGCTTTGGCAAAGCTCTCCCCCTGATTAACATTTCCCT